ATGTCTCTCAGCCCAATTCCTTCCATTAGTCACACATAGCTTCCTTCGATGGGAAAGAGTTGGCCACATGCACTCTGACGATCAAGTTAGTTGGGAAAGTAAATATATGAGTGTGGGAGAGTTTTAAACATGATCCTACAATATAAAAAGAGGGTCGACTATGTGGATTAATGGATAAAACAATTATATGGAAAATTTATAGTTTAAGAGTCTAAACTTACATTCCCTCAAAATGACATTAAGTGAGAACTTTTATAATAGAAGATGATGAGTAAGAGTTGTAGGATGAAGAGACATGTGACCGCATCCTAACGATTGTGGCCTCTTGTCATAGACATCAATTAATCATTCCTAGGCCATACTGCATTCAATATTGTAACGTGAGACTTGATTTGTTTGATTGGGTAGATCTATATTTATTCAGTGAGTTGTCACATCATCCACTTGATACAAGATCTTGTATGAAAATTTTCTCTAAAATGCCTCTACCTATCTCACCTCTTGAATGATGGCTTAGCTTCCCATGGGGTTCAGCCAAAGGGCTTAGACCAAATTGCCACACGGGCAGAATGACGTGGAATGAGGGCCTTGGTTTACTTGCTGTGTTGGCCATTTTTAGGGCCTCGTTGGAAGAAGCGTAACAAAAACTTAATTCACATTTAACATATTACAAAATAAATTAACATTTAAAAGAAATTCTTAAATTCAAATTGAAAGTTTAGCCAATGATGCATTGTTCTAAGAATTAAACTAGTTTTCTAAAAAAAATTTGACATACTTTTTGACATCCTCTCACATGTGGTAGGACCCACGCGAGACCCATTTAAATTAAAAAAGACAAAAAATTATGCTCCCCTATTGTGAGGGGGCTGTTAGGAAGGGGGCCAAACCCTCCGACAGCCTAGGAAGATTTTTGTTCTAATAGAAGTTGATTGTATGTGACATTTTATTTAAAAACTAACACAATGTGTTATGTTACTTTTTAATGAAAATGTCGAAAAAAAAAATTGTATAAACACCATCACTGGTAATTAGAGCATGTTAGTGATACACAAATCATCTAGAGTTGAACATTCTAAATATTATTTAAAGG